GACAGCTGCAACACGAGACTCCAGTCGAAAAACATCCATGGCAACTTCGTCGTTCACCGGAGAATTGACGGGGTCGAGGTTTGGCTCCAGTCGACTAGTTTCTTCTTCAAAGTTTTGGCAAAATTCTGCAAGGATGATCGCTGAGTCAAGGGGATGGTCGAATGGAAAAACCACGATTGGAAATGTTTGCCGAGCATAGAGGCTTACCTTCAAGCATAAGAAACAGCTTCTTGGCAAGACCACTCAGGAAGGCCTCCAGATCAGTTTTCTTCCCAGTCAATTTGCTGACTTGGTCGGTTAGGGCAGCTTTATCAGTTTTTAGTCGACTGACCTCTTTGTTGGCGATCCCAAGGGCAGCTTTCAGATTGGTATTGTCTTGTTCAAGCTTGGTGACTGAAGCTAACTTCTCGTCAGCAAGCTTGATCTTCTCAGCTAGTTCGAGGTCTTTCTTCTGTTGGGCCTCCCTTACCTTACCTGCAAGTTACAGCAAGGTCAGATTTTGAAACAAGCAAGGGGAAAAGCAGTCGTCAGGGCCTCACCAAACATACCTTCGGTCTCCTCCTTTGCCTTCGTCAGCTTCTCCTGAACCAGCTTCAAGCTCAGCTCGAGTTGAGTGTGCTTGTTTTCCAGCTCAGAGTAGCGAGCCACAAGATCACAGGAGTTCTGCGAAGAACCAATCGACTAAATGTCAAATATAATTCACTTCCGAGTGAAAAAGGAAAAAACACACGTTTCTAAGACTACAGCCGAATACAAGCATTCGACCGTAGTCTCGGGGACTACACCCAGTGGGTGCACTCAGCGTGCCCCCACTAATCTTGTTGAAGACAAAGTCGACCAGTCGACCTCAAAAAAAAAGAGCGAGATGCATTCTCTAAGACTGTGATCAACTGCAAGCAGTCGACCACAGTCTCGGGGACTACACCCAGTGGGTGCACTCAGCGTGCCCCCACCGGTTTGTGAAATCCAGTCGACATAGTCGACTGACAGAAAGATTGACATCATAAAGCCTAAGGCCGACTGCCAGCAGTCGACCTTAGCCTTGGGGACTACACCCAGCGGGTGCACTCAGCGTGCCCCCGCTGACACGGAGTTTAATCGACACACCCAGTGGGTGACTACTATAAATTCCGGAAAGGAAAAGTTTTTGGTAGCATATCCAACAGAACAAACAGTGGTCGACTGACCTGAACATTGCTTTGAAGGGCAGAACTGGCGTCATAAGCTGCCTGGCTCGCATCCCGGATGGTCTTTAACTGCTCCATCATGATTCCCGCCTGGCGTATCGCTTCCTTCGCCGCGCCAGCTTGGTCCTCTGGGACGTGGTGCGTCGTGAAGAGGGAGGGCTGCTGAGCACTCGTCAATGGATCTGCGAAGGACACCGTGTGTCGAGTGGTGTTCTCTTCCTCCGCAATCAGAATCTCAGGCGCCGTCACATCCTGGGGCACCTTACTGGCGGACGCTTTCCTACTCCTCCTGCGCTTCAGTGGTTCTTCATCCTCATCATCATCAGGGAGATTGATAACAGTATTGGGTGGAGCTACGGAGAAGAATCAGGATCAGAGATCGCGAGTCAGTCGACTAAGAACGGCGTTAAGAATACAGTACCTGGTTTCGAAGTTGCTGCGTCCTCCATCTCGTGGTCATCAGCCCGGGCTGAGGTTTCAGAAGTAGCAGCACTGCAACTCCAAAGGATCAGTCGACTAACTTCAGCGTCGACCAGAGACAAAGTTCACACAAAATGAGAAGACTTAAGCAGCACGATTACCCTGATATGGTGGGGATGGACACCTTCATCTTCGGCAGGAGCTTGATCGGCTTCGACGAGGCCGCCCTGGGCTGCTTCGGCGCCTTTTCAGTCGGCACCGGAGAGGTGGTCCGAGGGCGCTTGGTCGACTGAACAACGGTCGCAACCCCCTTGCCACGTTCAGTCGAAGGGTCGTGGACAAGTTTCGACCGCCTTTCTGAGCGCGGTGGTACGACCTCCTCCTCCTCTTCTTCCTCGTCCTCAACGTCGTCTTCATCACCGTCATCATCATCGTCGTCGTCATCATCCTCTGCAACGTCCGAGTCCCATTCCTCCTCTTCCTAGCTCTCGCCCCCGCTTGCCTCACCCTCCTCAGTCGGAGCTTGTGCCCCATTGGGCATCGAGTACAGCTCGGTGAGAGCCTAGCAGATATCAAGACAAGGATCAGTCGACCAGTCGGCAGGATAAACAGAAATGAATGCGACAAGAACACAGTGGAGAGCAGAGCAAATGTACCTTGTTTGGATCGCTGTTGTGGTCGAGTGGAGGAATCCTTCTGGCTCCGCGTGGGTTATCCTTGTTTCCGGTAACGGCTACCATCCATCTTTCCAGAGTGACATCGTCGACTGCTTCTGGATGGACTCGAGTCTCGTCTTCAGTCCCACAGTACAACCACATGCAGTGGCTCCGGAACTGAAGGGGCTGGATGCGACGCCTGAGGAAGACCTCCAGGAGGTCCATGCCCGTCACTCCCTCCCGAACCAACTGCACCACGCGCTCCATCAACATCTTCACGTCAGCTTTCTCCTCCGGAATCAACTTCAGAGAGGAGGGCTTGTTCACTCGGTCCATGGTAAACTGTGGGAGTCCACTCGACTGCCCTGGCGTCGACTGGTCCTGGCAGTAGAACCAGGTCGACTGCCAGCCTCTGACTGACTCGGGAAAGGTCATGGGCGGGAAGGTGCTCTTATTCCTCACCTGGATGCCCAGACCCCCACACATTTGGACGACTCGGGTCCTTTCATCGCCTGGGCTCGCCTTCTTCACGGTCTGAGAGCGACACGTGAATATATGCTTGAACAAACCCCAGTGCGGTCGACAGCCCAGGAAACCCTCACACATAGACACGAACGCGGCAAGATAGGCGATAGAATTTGGGGTAAAGTGGTGGAGCTGCGCTCCAAAGAAGTTCAAGAAGCCACGGAAGAAAATACTCGGCGGCAAAGAAAATCCACGATCAACATGGGTGGCCAAAAGCACGCACTCACCCTCTTCTGGCTGGGGCTGCCACTCCTTCCCCGGAAGCCTCGCAGCTCCATGAGGGATCAAGCCCTTGTTGGCCATGTCGAGGAGATCTTTCTCTGTGATGGTCGACTGGATCCAGTCCCCTTGGACCCAGCCCTTCGGCAGGCGGGATCTGGACGAAGACCCGCCGCGGCTGGTAGATCTCCCCTTTGCCTTCTTCGACGCCGACGCCTTCTTCGCACGTTCCAGCGCCGCCGTCTTCTCCTTGGCCATGGTTGCCGGCGAGATGCGCGTGGGGAAGTTGTGCGGGGGCGAGAGCGAGCGCGCTGGACGAGGACGAAGGGAGCAGAGAGAAAGAGAATGCTGAGGCACAGTACAGAAATCCTCGCCGGGCGCATTTATAAGGTCCCTTCCGAGTGGATGACAGGTGGGCCCGGTCGATCTAATCATATCCAGGAACAGTTATGCCGACGGGATACGTGGCGAAGAAAGCGGCGCGGGGATCGAGGCGTCTATGTCCCGTCCCATCCGAACGCCGCAGTCCGCTCCGCTTCGCGCGCGTCCTCAAATTTCGCATCCCGCGGAATCCGCGAACAGCAGATCAGTCTGTCAGACGCGGGGTTTCCCACGATCCGTCGCTCGGAGATCGTCGAATCCCGAAAGATCACTCGACGAAAGAAGAGAATGGATCGAGTCGACTGAAGACAAGTTGCTCACTGTCGACGAAGAGATTCTTTGGTCCAGAACAGCACACGACCAGAGCGCAAAAGTTAATCGGAAACGACATCAACTCCTTCCTCACTCGAAGCTTCAATCCATTCGGGGGCTAATGATGGGGTCATGTACCTAGGGTAGGGTCATGGACCTGATCTAAGTACCTTGCCCAAGGACACCCTTAGAAGAGGTCGTCTTCCAGTCGACCAACGAAGGACTCACTCGACTGACTTGAAGGACTCGACCACGAAGACTCACTCGACCACCAGGAGGTCAAGAGGCACTCTGCACTGCAACGGCCTGTAATGAAGTAGACTTTATGATAGTAAAGACACTTTATGTGGGGCGTTACCAGTAACGCCCCAGACTTAACTCACCTTAAACCCTCTCCTACGTGGGCTGGCTGGGGTCCTGACGCACTCTATATAAGCCACCTCCCTCCACAGGTAGAGGGGTTCGGCACCTTGTAACTCATATACTCATAATCCACTCGACCGCCTCCGGGCTCCGAGACGTAGGGCTATTACTTCTTCCGAGAAGGGCCTGAACTCGTACATCCCTTGTGTTTACAACCTCTCCATAGCTAGGACCTTGCCTCTCTATACCTACCCCCCACTCTACTGTCAGGCTTAGAACCACGACATCTGGCGTCTGGCTTATTCGGGGTGGCTAAAAGGGTTTTCTGGGTTGGGTTTGCAGCGATCTGTTGGTTGTTGTGGAACACTAGAAACAAGTTTACTATTGAACATACCTTTCCGGCTAACCCTGTGAGCTGCTTATTTAAATCTGGTGTCTTCCTGCAGCAGTGGAGATTATTGATTAAGGAGGCGGACCACGAGGCTTTTGACGCTATGGTATCCAAGATTCGGTCTACGGCTTCATCCATGTTGCGAAGATTTTGGGCGGTGCCTTAATGTTCCCTTCTTTCTGTTTTCTGAGAGCTGGCCTGTGTGCCATGATTGGCTAGGTAGCCATGTATGCGAACCTTATTAGTTGTTGCTGTGATACTATGTTGGCTTGGTGGTTGCTCTGTTACTCTGCCTGGTGGCTTTATTTATAAAATCGGGCGTATGTCTTTTCTCAAAAAAAAAAACCGTGAAGCTTGGGGTTCCATGGTTGGTTCTCGAACTTGCCAGATGCCGACGCTGATGGGAAAACATTTTGCCTATTGCATAGGTCCTTTTATTGATTATTAGCATCCATAAGGACAACACACACATGTATGATGCATATAGTCTACAACTTGCGATCGAGAACAACACTCCAGTTGTATATATGTCCGTCGATTGATCATCTACATGAGGAGTCCCCTGGCTATGCGGCCGTCAGCGCCCTGGGGAAAGAACCCGCCGGCCTGGGCGGGGCTTCCGGTGCCGTACACGATGCCGAGGATCTCCTCGGGCGTGCGATCGTACGCGAGCGAGTAGCGGTCGCCGGCGATGATGTTCCCCACGGTCTGCCCCTCGGGCCCCTCACCCGGCGCCACCACTAGCCCCTCGTCCTTCACTCCCCTCCTCCCAAGCTCGTTCCGCAGGTCGGAGATGTGCGCGGTCACCTCCGCCACACCAACACCATAGCTCGCCACCCGCGACAGTCCGCGCTCGTACAACAGGGCCCGGATCACCGCGTCCTGTGCCGATTCCACGCCCACCAGTCCCGCCACCAGCTGCGTGCAATCAATCACAGAAGTACGACAAGTTAATTATCACGTACATGTAATTAATGGGAATATCGATCAGTACGCATGCACGCATTTTGTGTGTCTGATCGATACGGCTGGTGGTAGGGTGATCACGCGTGTGGTGTAGCCTAGGTACGTACCCTTCTGGCCTGAGGAGTGAGGAGCTTGGGGTTGGCGCCAACGTAGCCGGTAAGACCGACGTACGGGATGATGTAGGAGGCGATGAGGAAGTTGAGGCTGTTCTCGTAGGGGTTGAAGGGCGGGTCCAGCGTCGTGTTCATCGCCTGCTCCACGATCTTGCCGATGTTGGTCGCGCTGATGTCCAGCTGCGGCCGCGGGAATCCCCTCACGTTCTGCTTGATCGCCCTGCACATACACACGCACGCACTGTTCATAAACGACATGCTACTTCTCTGCTACTAATATTTCTTGGTCGGGAGAGAGTCCGAGTGGCCGAATTGTGAGGTTAATTGCGTACGTACCTGAGGTGGCCAACTTCTTGGTAGCAGAACTGTGTGGCGACGTCTCGGACGAAGGGGGTGAGGGCGGCGGTCTGGCCACCGATGGGAGGCGGACCGCCGCCGGTGAGGTTGACGTCGATGCCATCGAGGCCGTAGCCCAGCGCCGACCAGCAGAAGAACTCCGCCTCCAGGTACTCGAGGTTCAGCGGGAACTCCAGCAGGTCCACGTCCGATTGTGGCAGCAGCGTGCCGCCGCCGCCGAAGAACCCGCGGTACCGTGCCCACTCGTTGTCCATGTCCTGCGCCCGGCAGACGCCGCCGCAGAGAGCAGCCGCCACCAAGCAGGCGACCACCACGACGAAGGTGGCCGGCGCAGCCATGGCAATACTACTTGCAGCTCGTAGTATGATCACGAGTTGGGAGTTGGGACTAGTCTGCGCACGCCAAGGATGGTAGGATCACTGATCTGCAGGTTTGGGGGACTTGACTTCTGCGTGTTCTCGTCCTCGCGATCAGCGAATGTAATATAGGCGGTGCGGCACGTGCGGAAGGGGTGCAACGTGGAGCATGACGTGGACGGGAACGGGAAGAGGAGCGGGGGTGGCGCGCCAAGGGTGTGGCGTCCGCGGGAGCTACTACGTGTGGCGTTGTTTAAACGGCCGGTCGCTGTTTCCTTTGTCTTGGAGGAAATTTGAGTGGGTCGACCATTACTCCATTGTGTGACGTTTTCTGTGCAGTTGTCTTGCGAGTTTTCTAGCTTTGGACCTTACCCTGGGCTCCTGAACTACTTTTTTTTAGAGAAAAAGCCAAAGCCTGATTTTATAGATAAAGGCTCAAGGCAGCGTCACGGATACCGCAAGTTCACAGGAGCACACACACATAAACAAAAGGATGAGAGTAGCCAGAGCAGGAAAGATACAGGCAACTGCCATACACGGCGCGCAGGCCGGGGAGGGAGAAACACCTAATCTCCGCAAACTACAGCACCAGATTTAGACGACAGGGTTCCTTCCGGAGATCTGAGAAGCCGAAGCCCGAATTTTGTCGATGAGCAGGTCCAGGGCATCCCGATCAGTCTCCTTAGTCAATGATCTCCACTGCTGCAAGAATATACATGATTTGAAAAGAACATCAGCAGGCTTAGATGGGAAGGTAAGTTCAATAGTAAATTTGTTTCTAATGGTCCAGAGAGCCCAACATAAAGCTCCCAGGCCAACCCAAAATACCCTCTTGGTGACCCCGACCAAGGCTTTGGCTAGGGTTCAAATCTCAGAGAAAGAGGAGGGATTTCAGGGAACCCGAAGCCAAGATCTGACGCAGCACCAAACTAATTTGGCCAGAACGCATTTGAAAAAGATGTGATCAGAGTTCTCCAAGGCCCCACACAAATTACAGAATTCCGAGCCCGGCCGATTGCGTTTTTTGATCTGATCAGCAGTCGGGAGGCGACCACGGAAGGCTTGCCAGAGAAAAATCTTAATCGTAGGAGGAACCTTGGATTTCCAAACGCAAGAGAATCGAGCCGAAGGAGTACCACCAATAAGTCTAGAATACAGCGACTTAACCGAAAATCTACCAGAGGCCGAATGCGGCCAAATCATCGAGTCGGCCGACTCCGAGAGCACAGGGAAGAGGGCAGAGAGACTTTGCCAATCTTCCAACTCTTCAGGAGACAGGGCCCGACGAAAAGCCAAATCCCAATTATTAGCAGCCACCTTCGCGATGGAGATCTGCGGATTAGGACAGTAAGAAAACAGAACCGGAAAGCTCACGGCTAGGGGGGCATCCCCAGACCACCAATCCAACCAAAATCGAACAACCAACCCATTACCAACAGTAAACTTAACATGCTCCAGAAAAATCGGTCTAACTTTGACAAGGGCTTTCCAAAACTGAGAGCCACGCCGCGCGGAAGCAAACAACGGGTTGGAGTGAGGGAAATATTTGGCCTTAAGAATCGAAAACCACAACGACTCGGCCCCAACAGTCATAATTTTCCACCACCACTTGATAAGCAAACAAATGTTCATCACCCGAGTATTAATAATGCCTAACCCCCCAAGGTTCTTAGGTTTACACATAAGTTGCCACTTGACCAGCCTATACTTCCTTTTGTTATCAGCGGAATTCCAGTAGAAGGCACCCCTATGTTTGTCGAAGCCAGCATGCACGCCATTCGTGAGAAGATAAAAGCCCATAAGAAACATAGGGAGAGAGGATAAGCAGGAGTTGATTAGAGCCACTTTGCCGGCATTGGTATTATATCTACCCCTCCAAGGGAGCACCCTGTTCCCCACTTTAGCAACCGCCGGAGCGAAATCATTCGCATGAAGCATTCCAGGAGAGATCGGAAAGCCTAAATACTTGAAGGGGAAGGAGCCTAATGAGCAGTTAAGGAGCCTGGCAACCCGCAAGGCTTCCGCCCCATCAACACCCGTCACCATAACCTCATTCTTGGCGAAATTAATCTTAAGACCCGAAACGGCTTCGAAACACAACAAGATGAATTTCAGATTGGCAATACAGGCGTCATCCAGCTCCACCAAGATGATTGTATCGTCCGCATATTGCAGATGGGAGACACCTTCCGGAAGTAGATGGGAGACCACAGGAGCGATGTGCCCACAGCGGGCCGCCCTGGAGAGCATGCAAGAGAAGGCGTCGCCCACAAAGTTAAAAAGAACAGGGGAGGCAGGATCCCCTTGGCGAAGGCCCCTGCCATTCGCGAAGAAATTGCTAACAAAGCCGTTAACAGCAATGGCAGTATGGCCACCCGAGACCAACTACATGATACGATGAACATAAGCACCGTCGAAGCCTTTAGCAAGGAGGACCTGCTTGAGGAAGGGCCAGCTAACCGAGTCATACGCTTTTTCGAAGTCTAACTTAAGAATAATCGCTTTAGCTCTTCGCACATGAAGATCATGAACAATGTCATGAAGGGAAAGAATACCATCAAGAATGAAACGCCCTTTGATAAAAGCATATTGAAAGGGGCTAATAACTCTATGAGCTACCAGAGACAAACGATTCGCAAAGCCTTTAGCCGGGAATTTGGCAAAGTTGTTAATCAAAGCAATAGGCCGAAATTGGGAGATAACATCAGCACCCTTGACCTTAGGAATCAGGGATATCACAGCGTAATTCAGGCGAGAGATGTCGACAGTACCAAGGCAGAAAACCTGGATAACGTTACACACCAACTGTTTCAACTGGGGCCAGAATTTCCGAAAGAAGGGGATGGAAAAACCGTCTGGCCCGGAAGCAGCATTGGGATTAGCAGAGTTAACAACATCCCAAATTTCCTGGTCAGAGAGCGGAATCATCAAGGAAGCATTCTCCTCGGGGGTGATTTTAAGACCAGAGCTCCAAAGGTGGGGAGATATATATAAGCCCGATTGAGGTTTAGCCCCTAACAACGAAGAAAAGAAATCCACCACATGAGCCATAATAATAGACTGATCAGAAGAACGCACACCATTAATCAGCAGGCTATTAATATCACAGCGCCTACGCCTACCGTTCGCAATCGCAAAAAAGTAGGCTGTAGGAGAGTCCCCTTTAAGAGTCCAGTTAAGAGTGCCCCGCTGGCGCCAATAAATCTCGGCCTGGTGGTGCAACTGCATTAAAGCAACCTCAAGATTATAACGAACGGCCCAGCCATCGTCAGAGAGCCCAGTAGAATCAGCAGCACGATCCAGCTCCAAGATCTGGTTTTCGAGAAAAGCTTTGGTGCGACGATCCTCCGCCGCACGATTACGAGACCAACCTCTAAGAAACTTACGCAAGTCATAGGAGCACGAGTGCCAATCATCCAGAGGCCCAAACGAGCGGGAATTGGAAGAGAGGGATTGGGAAATCTTCGCTGCAACCATATCAGCAAAGCCATCCACCGACAATCATGAAGCATCAAATTGAAATCTAGTCGGAGGTCGAGTGCAAATGGAACCGTCGTCAAGAATCAAGGGGGTATGATCAGACCCGACAATGCATTTGGCGTTAAGAGAAGTTCTAGGGAACAAGGACTCCCACCTGGGACATAGGAAGATTCGATCAAGCACGGATCTAATAGGGTTAGCCTAATGGTTAGACCAAGTAAAGCGGGGCCCCCCCGAGGAAGCTCACGGATGGCGTTAGCACTAATGAAGTCATTAAAAGCATTAGCTAAAGGCCAAGAGAAATTATCATTATTCTTGTCAAGAGGGCACCGCAGAAGATTAAAGTCTCCCCCAATAACCATCGGTAAATTACAGGAATCAATCTTGATCGAGAGTTCATTAAGGAATAGGTTCGACAGAGAGTGATCCGCAGGCCCATAAACAACATAAACTCACAGAGGGTATTCATAGATTTGTGAGAAAGAACAACACTGGCCCAAAAAACCCATGGTCAAAAGCAACAAAATCAAAAATATCTTTATTAGAACCAATCAAGATCCCACCAGAGTGGCCCGAAGCAGGTAAAAATTGCCAATTAAATCTGTCCATACCCACAATAGTAGAGAGCTCATTAGGGGAGAAGGAATCCTTGAAAGTTTCAACCAGCCCCACGAAATCAATAGAATTAGAACGAACCAAATCTTTAAGTTGGTCACGGCGCCCCCTAGCACCGAACCCCCTAATATTCCAGAATAACGCCCTCATTTATATGAAAGATTCTTGATGCGGAGGCTCGACCTGCAGGGGGCCATGCAGGATTTAGCACGTTTATTAGTGCCCCTCTTGGAAAAGCAGGAAAGGGGCTGGCCACTACCAGCACCCGAAGCCACCCCCGCATCACAACCAACACCCTCGACCCGCGAGGCAACAGCCTCTTTGGCTTTAGCAATGGCTGCCTGAGCCAGTTCATTAGCCCGAATAATAGCAAGAAGCGAACTAGGAGAACCAACAGAAGAATTGACCACCAAACCCATGTCTGACATAATATTTAAAAGATGATCATCAGACATAGAAGGTAAAACCACCCGAACAGGAGAAACAGCGACAGAAGAGGCTGGGGAGGTACCTGGGGGAGGGAGATCCTTCGCCGCAGCCCGCTTCTCCGCCCTTTCTAGGATAGAACCACCGGAGTGCGCAACCCGCCTTCCTTTATGGGCCGTGGACACCGGAGATCGAATAGCAGACGACCGCGCAGCAGGAGAACCAACATGGGGACCGGAGCGGGACATAGAACCTAGATCTTGATCAAGACACCGACAGATCCCCGTCATGGATTGCTTCGAGCCCGACGAGTTCCGGCTCTTAGCCGAGAACTTGCGCACTGAGGATTTCTTCTTCGTGAGGGGCTGGGATTCCACCATATCGCGAGCCGGGGAGACAGGGAGATCTTCAATTCCCGAACGGGTGGGGGAGAGTGGGCGAGCAGGAAGATTGGAGCAGGC